TCTTCTCTAGTGAGGTATTAATAAAGACAGATGCCTGGACATCTGCTGGTCTTGAATTTCAAGGTCTGTAGCTGGTGGCTTCTGTTGGTTTGCCCTGGGCAGGGGTAGTGTTGAAACGTTGCCATGGGCTTAGCCTCAAGGCATGATGAGACCTCAGCAGGTGGGGCAAACAACTCCTGAAGTAACACTAGCCTCTAACATGGGCAGCCCTAAGGCTTGTTTCAAGCATGAGATTCATTGTTCTGGCTGCTTTGCTTACATGACCTTATTTAATCCTCACAATAAACCTCTTGGTGGCTACTATTATTAACTCCACTTTCAGGATGAGAAAACTGGAGCCCAGAGAGGTTACAAGACTTGCTTAAGACCACACAGCTTGGAAGCTGCAGAATTTGAATTCAAACCCAAGTCATTAATCCATGCCATTCAGCCTCAAGACCGGAATTCTCAACCATTGGATTAACAGTTGCAAAACCTGGATACTAGCTCTTGCTTCACCATTAACCAGTTGTGATTAAGGGCAAGTCCCTTCCCTTTTCAGTGTGTTTCATATCTGAAAAAATGAAGAGGGTTGGCTTAGCTGATAACTAAGCATCTTTTATACTCTGGTAGTCTATGTTAGGGTGGGAGAAGCCAATGGGAAAAGGAAATGTTAATGTGGTGCAGTGATGAACGCTCTTTCCTCCTCTGAGCCTCAATGTCCTCATCTGTGAAATGGGAATCATTAAAAACCACATAAGGTTGTTGAGTGTGTTAAGATAATGTACAAATGAAAAGTACTTAGCACTCACCCAGACACATAGTAGGTGCTTAATAAACATCAGCCCTCATTCATTCTTATTATTAATATGCTTCCAGAGCCCGACTATACATGGGTTCCTGAAGGCTTCTGGGAAGGTCAAAGTACTACGTTTGTGGAAAGAAGGTGGCTCAATGCAGAAGAAAGAGAGTCAAACAAAATTACTAACAGGAATGTGTGCCGTTGCCCTTTATTGGTTTTACATACGAGTTAGTTTACGAATACTTTCAGGAGCATGTAAGTGTGAAATTGGAAAGCTTCACTGCAGGACTGCCACGAGCCACCACACTGGTGATATAAAAGGAAAAGGGAAAGAAAGGAGAACGGCAGAAAGGAAAGGAAGGTGAGCCCAAGGTGTGCAAGGACAAAAGACACCGGGCTGGGGAACAAACTGATTTTAACGTTCAAAGCTCATTCATCCACATTTATGGTTGAACACATGCTCTTATTTGACTTTGTAAACATGCCCTCCATTCTCCCGCCTCTGTGCTTTCACTCAATGCATGTCCTCTGTGCGAAACTGCCATTCCTAGCTAGGGACACTGCTCACGGCCCAGGTGGCTTTCAGGCCAAGTTGGAATTTTATTTTCTTTGAGAAGAAATTGTAAAGCATTCGTGGTTAATAAAAACATAGACTTTGGGTCAGCAAGACCTGCCTGGGCAAACTTGAGGGAAGTTCCTTAACCTCTCTAAACCTCAGTTTCCCAGGCTATAACATGCAAATATGAAATCACAACCTTCAGGTTTACAATAAATAATAGAGGTCGTGCACGTGCAGTGCTTAACCATCCGCTCAATAAACATCCGTTGCTATTTTCTCCATCGCCCACATTCCAGTCCCACTTTCTCCATGCCTTGAGTGTAGCTCCTTATTACACTGAACTAGAATTACTGCCTATCCCCACTGTCCTGGAGGGAAAGAACCATGCTTTTATTTATCTCTGAATCTCCGAAAAGAGCCGAGAACACTAACATGCAATGAGTGCTCAATAAATGTCATTTTGCACTAACACTATTTGACAACTAACACTTACAGAGCACTTACTATGACTAGGCACAGTGCTGAGCTCTAGGTTTCATAGAATTAAGTCTTGGGTTGATTATATTATTAAGTCAGCCTTGAATTTGGGAGTATTAGAACTCTTTTCAGATTTTTGTGAAAAATTGAGAGGATAGAAGGGTTTAGTAGCGCCCAACTTATACAAAGTACTCAACAAAAGGCAGATACTAAAGTCAAGGGCAAGCCCCACTTGCCTTGATGACCAACAGGAGGGTGAGGGGATTGACCTGAGCCTGTTTTGCCCTCCCCCATTTGGCCACATCCTTGGCTGCCAGCTCTCTCATCCCCTAGCCGACACCAGGGACTTGGCTCTTCTGGAACAACTACGGAAGGAGGAAGGACCCAAGACCTCAAGAGCTTGAAGGTTAAGGTGATTAAAACAAGAGAAAGGCAGTCAGACTAGCAGTTACTCTAGCGAGGAGAAGTAACCCAAAGGAAGCTGATGATAGCTGATGATGCTATTTCTTGACCTAGGTGCTGGTTACACGGATGCGTTCACTTTGAGAAAACTCAACAACTTCCACAATTAAGAACTGTGCACTTTGCTGTAAGAATGTTATTACAATAAATTTTTTTTAAAATAGTGAACCCCTCTCCATTGTTCAAAGCAAAATAACCAGCCCTTCCCAATGGGTGTGCCACAACTGGGGTACAAGTACAAGTCAGTCACCTGGGGCAGCAAGCAGCCTCATCAGTTTACCCCAAGGGAGCTATAGAAATACGATGGTTTTTGGTAAGAGTGGGAGACACTGCTCTAGAGTACCATTCGAACAACACCCTCCTCAATCACACAAGTTTACCTCAAGGTTCCTCCTGTTATGTGTCATTGAGTCGGCCAGACTCCAGGTGACCCAATGAATGAGTGATGTTCACAGTGTCCTGTCCCCAACAGCCCTGCTCAGCTCCTGCAGACTCGTAACAATGGCTTCCTTTATGGAGTCAGTCCATCTCATATTTGGTCTTCCTCTTCTCCTGCTGCTTTCTATTTTGCCCAGCACTACTGTCTTTTCGAAAGAACTCTGCCTTCTCACGATGTGCCCAAAGTCGGACAGCTTCAGTTTTGTCACTTTTGCCTCCAGTGATGTCTCAGGCTTAATTATCGCTACGCCCCACTCGCTCATCTTTCTGGCAGTCCAGGTACTCATCGAGCTCTCCGCCAACACCATATTTCAAATGAATCCATTTTTTCCCTATCAGCCTTCTTTCTTCACCGCCCAGCTTTCACATCCGCATGTAGTAATAGGGAATACAAGGCTTCCTATCTAAGGTTAATTTTACTTACTCAATTTTTCATCAGATTCTTTTACCCTCTCCAACAAGGAGAGAGTACACTTAATTTAAGGGTCAACACCCCTTGACTGCCCTTTACAATGAACCAGAGAGTTAGTCTTTGACATCATTCCTATTCTTACTCTTTATAATGAGAAAATGTCTAATACATCCCTCCCTCCTCCCCAGCTTCCCTCCCCATAGTCAATGGAGGAAAAACCAAAAATAAATTTCAATCATTTATCAAGTCAATGGATATAACACAAACTACATGCTGGTTTTCTCTTTGAAAGTTTATTGTTATTAAAAAAAAAAAAAAAAGCCTATACTTTTTACATTTTACATTCACCTCTCAGAACATTTAATGGTACCAGTTAATGATATTATTGTATAAAAAGCCCACCAGCTGCTTGAAATGGCTGCAAATTATTTTTACCATGTTCTGGTATTAAAGTGGTTTGAACTCTTTGGAAAAATTGGTGTAACATTAAGTAAGTACCGATATTTCAAATTCCCAAATTAGAAACAAGATTTTTAAATCTGGAGGAAACTTAGTAAAATTCAAGGCTAAAGGGAAATGTTAATAGAAAAACAAAACAATAATATTGTAAAAAATAGGATTTTCCCAAGTTAGATATAAAAAAAAAAAAATTACAACCAACCCTCCCCCATATTCCTTAGAAAAAGTCACTCAATACTGAACACAGGGTCTCCCACCCAAATACAAGTAGCCTGATTTTCAGATCAGCCTCTGGGATTTTACACTGGCCCTAATTAGAAGTTTTTTTAAAAAAAACTAAGTTACATTAGGTAGTTAAACATCCATAAATACTGGTATCTGAACAAATAAAAATATCCTGGCTTTGGTATGGCTACAGAAATATGGAAACTGTTCAAGAGGACACTGGCCTAGGGAGAGGAGTTGGAGAAATACACAAAACCCCCAAGAGGAGGTAAAATAAATATTGGGACACGTAGGTAGCAAATACTGTGTACTTGAGGCAGATGCCTGGAGCCGAACACACGCATAGGTTCTTGATCAGAATTGTCTGAACCAACCTTTATCAAAGTATCACTTGCAGAAAGTAGTTTGAATTTGGGAATTCATCTGCTGCCCTGGATCTAGTGAGAGACAGACCTTTAAAATAAGAATGGCCCCCCCGGGCTAAAAGCCAGCCGCCAGCCCCCTCTTATTCTAGCAGTCACAAAGTCTGTTACCCTCTCATTCACTTTGCCCATCACAAAAGCTCCTCCATCTCCTAACAACGGGCCTTTCCCACCCACCGGTCACTACAGGGGGGCCTGAGTGGTTGAAATGCTGACTTTTCATTCTTGGAGTAACTAAATTAAAAATTAATAAATCTTCTGGGATCAGGAACACATTTTACTGTGCTGTCTCATGTCTAGGGCACTATCTTCCGTTTTCACTAGATCATGATTTTGAGAGTTGTGAGGACACTGAGGCACAGAAGGCAGTGATGGGGCGGAGACCATGCCTAATGGTGGCCTCGAACGCCCTCAAATTCACAGAAGAGAAAAGGCCAAAGTGCCCAGACCCTGGTCTTCAAATAAAGTTACTTCACCAAAGCACAAAGATGCCAGTAGCCAAGGCAAGGAAAAAAAGGCCACTTGCTGCTCAGTGCTGAGCCCCCAACAGTTATCAATACAATCCTTTCCCCAGAAAACAAATGCTGGTGTACTGTTAGGAAGACAAGTTAACACAATCATTTAAATAAATAAAAAAACCTTCAATGGCAACACACACTAAATGTATCTAAGTAATTCCACCACAGGGCACTAGATAACCAAAAGCTACCTGCTATTACAGGATGTTACACACACCACAATGACAGTTCAAGCAAGAGAGATCTCCCGAACAGAAAAAGGCCGCCAAGCAGCAGCAAAAACATCTTAACAATGAAGGTCTGGGGACAGAGAAAAAACACAAAAAGCCCAGGCAACTTTTGATGAACAGCATTATTTATCCTGTCTTTAAATGAGCCTCAACCAGAAAAAAAAGAAAAAGAAAAAATAGATTATAAATTGAAACAAAAATATATCTGTACAAGTCTCCAAGTCAGTAAGGTTTGGTCTCTGTTGAAGCCAGGACTTTGCAGAAGGTGATTTACTTGTCATCACAGCCCCAACTTGCATTGGGGTGTGTAAATCAAGAGACAACACAAAGAGAATCGCTTGAGACCAAAGGAGTTACTTGCAAAAGTTTCCTAGGACGTGTCAAAGTCTACTGATTGCCCATAGAAATGCTTACACGTGCTCTAACCCCCAAAACTTCATAAACATTGTAAGGTGGCAACTAGAATATTAAAAACCCCATCACCCAATAAGTTGTATCTCTAGTTTAGGAGTGAGGGAAAGGGAGCAGGGAGTGCAGGGGAGGCTGTTTCATCAGGATTCATCAGGAAGAGTGTAGGTTTAGTGGCAGCCACGGCAGAGCCTTCTCTGTCTTTGGCCTGGGCCAGACCTCCTGGGAGATCTCCTGGAGGCTGCGAGAGCCAACAAGGTTCCATGGGTTTGGAATGGCCAATGTGCAATAACAGCATCAGTGAAGAGTGCAATTTGAATCATGAGTGAGAGTCTGTAGATAACTGGTTATTGCACTATCAATCTCACCTCCCCACCCTCAATAGATAACCCAGATAATGAGCCCATGGCAGGTACCACTTCACCCACTCGGGAGCTGGGAAAATGAATTGCAAACGAAACCATCTGAAATGACCACTTCTTGTTTCCAGTTCGAGCTAAAATAAAACAACTGTGTGTGAATAAACCACTTGCATTAAATAACATTTAAAATATGGTACCTTCAACACATTGTGAATATGAGCCGCTTCCTCCCCGCAGCCCCAATTACTTCAGTGCACGTAGTCCCCCAGGCAAATTTTTCTGTCGTTCAACCAGTGGAGTGGATGGCATACTCCGCCAGATGTTACACAAGGCATTTATTTCTCTGAGAAGGCTGAGAGCCAGGAGAATTAATCTCCTTCTGCTAGGACCTCTGCCCCAAGCTTCTGGGGAAATACCGAATTGGGCTTGACAAGGGGAGTAGCTACATGATCCACTAATCAGATTCAAAACATGAAAATCCACTGGAGAGTGTATCCCCCCTTCCTGCTCCTCTTCATGGTAAAAAGACCTGAAGACAATTAATAAAAAGAAATGTCCCTTCAAACTCAAAGGAAGCTTGGAAAAAAAACACACACAAAACAAAAAAAAATAAACAAATAAGTAAATTAAACTCCCAATACTCCTGAAAGTAAAATCGTCTCATGGTGACTGGTTGGAAGAAGTCGAGGCAGTAAAGAATGAAACAAAGATGGAAGCGACTGGCCACGAAAGTGCCTTGCAGAATCCACAAGAGTGTTCTCCATTGTCCAAGGCCAAGGAGCAATTCCCAAGTTAAAAACTTTCTATTAAGAAGAAAACAAAACAAAACCAAAAACCAAAAACCACTCCAGAAAAAGGGTCAAGGGAAGTAGAGCACTGTAGAAAGTCAAGCCGCTGACCTCCGGCGGATCACAAAGAGCCCACGCTGAAGCTGGCCCAAGTAAATCCTCATCTTGGTGCTGTCGCTGGTCTTTCTCACCCAGATCTGCAGGGGACAAGGAAAGGGAACAAGATGAGAGAGGCTGAGACTGAGGAGTCAATCTTCCAGAGAGTCAAAATAGCTGCATAAATTAGGTGTGGGCAGAAAACCGGCAACCTCTTCCTGTCCACTTGCAGGGCCTCTAAAAGCACCTCCTTGCTCTGGCCCTCCTACAGGCAAGCCTCAGTGTAGACAGAAGGCACCAGCCCGTGAACTCATTTCTCCCAGCCATCTCTCTTACACCTTTGATTAAGAAAATAGAAAGCACAATGATACTGTGTTCCTCTGACACACTAAGGCGTCTCCCCTCCAGGAAACATGTCTCAGTGTAGTGACCTCGTTGACACTATTATGTCAAAGGGTGATAATCTTCAACAGAGAAATAGAAAAATCTAACTTGCATTTCTATTTTCCTGAAAAATCCTGAAGTGTCAGAGACAATAAAGCACTAGATCTGAAGTTAGGTTTATGTACTAGGAGGCCATACATGCTCTGTACAATAGCCCATATGGCCAGGAGCAAAACTCCATTGTGAAATCACAACCCCTCTTGCTGAGGAGCAGCAGGTGTCTCTATTAGATCCCCTGTTCTGGTTTTGACTGGCTTGAGATGACATACAGATCCTGAATCCAGAGTAAAATGACATTCATTTATCTGGAAAGCTCTCCCTAACTTCCAAGTAAACAATCATTTTGCAAACTAGTCACATTTAAGGGCATTTTCAATTCAGGAAGCTGGTAGAATAGAAGAGGCTTAAGTTATTTCATAATCCAGTTTCATTAGATTGCTGTGCACTGGCACAAATAAGTTACAGAAGGTAGACACATAAAAATCAATTTTGCTGCAAACATTTGTGGACTGATAAAAGATTGATCCAATCCAGCTATTAAAGTTTTAAACTTTTAAAACTACTAACAATACAGGTTACACGTTGCTGACACCCTTCTAACGAAGGGCCCGTAGGAGAACTCACAAGCCAGTCATATCATCCTACAGTGGTGACTAGAGGAGACCAACACCTAGTGGCACGAGCCTCGTAGCTCATTGTTCAGAGGCACAACAGGACATGTCAGATTGGAAATGGCAGCAGGCAAGTAGTATTTATGGGTCAGATCAGGCCAGCACTCATTTATTTAGCACTTACTGTGTGCCAGACCCTGTGCCAGGTGCCTCAATACAACCTCACAGCATGAAACAAATCTATTAGTACACGTGAAAGTTCTAGAGAAAGAACAGAACGAAGATGCAGTATGATCTACAGGAAGGCTCCATTCTCAGTAAATGGTTTCCTTAAAAAAGCAGCAGGATTTGAAAGCATAGAAATCACACAGACTTGCCTTCCTTCTTTCCTGTTGTATAGCTAGTGGTTCTCAACTCAGTTACTGTACAGAGTTCACAGATACTACAAGGACTACACAAATCCATCTATATTGCAGTTAAGCAAAGTAAGGGATTTTCCAGGGTGATTTTGCCTATGTGCAATTTCTGCCTGAAAACACTGACTTTAGGCTCTAACCCACAAAGAACACACAATTCCTCTGTACTTTTTTAGTGGCCCTCACAATGCAGGTTGTCACCTTCTGCCTTCCTAAAGGGTGAGGGAGTTTGGAACCTACCTCATTAGCTCCGACAGAGCTGATTACACAGCTCAGTTTCTGGTTGTCCTTGGACTCCAGATAGATGGCTTGGCTCTTGTGGTACCTGCCAAAAACAGGACACAAGTTTATTATTTGAACCACTTTACTGAAGTATGATTGAAATGTAAAAAGCTGCATGTTTAATGTATATGACTCTATGAATTTGGGGATAAGTATACACCTGTGAAACCATACCACCATCAAGGCTACAGAAACACAGGGGTGGGCAAAAGTAGGTTTACAATTGTGAGTACATGAAACAGTTTACTCTTATATTATTACTTATTCATTATTCTATTATTTATTATTAATTTGCTTTTGTCCACCCCTGTATATATCACTTCCCAAAGTTTCCTCCTGTCCTCTTTATTATGATTATTGTTTTTTTGTGGGTTTTTAAGAAGAACACTCAACATAAGATCTACTCACTTAAAAAAATGTTATGTATACAATACAGTATTGTTAAAGGCACAGATTTTTTTAGGAAAAAAGGAAGGAAAGAAGGGAAGGAAAAAAGAAAAGATCACCACAACACAAAATGTAAATTAAAAGAGTCTTAATTGATATTTGAGGAAGAGTCTGGATTTCAGGTTTAATTTAAAGGCGTCTATCCTTGGATTAGATGATCATCTCCTAATCTTCTAAATCTAATTTATATTCCTCTGCAGAGGGGGGAAGGGGATGCCAAGAAAAGGGCTAGGAAATTAACTCTATATTTACTTTTTTATTTGTACTATATGACCCATATCAAAAAGTAAATTATAATTTTTCAAGCAAAACTTGTTTATACCCCAAAATACCAAAGAAGGCTAGGTAGACAAAACAAATAGATGGACTTGAACAATTGCTCTGTTATTTATTTTCTACTTGTCCAAATAAGTCATCAACAAGAAGGAAGGCCAAATTCAGCCCTTACTTTGGTCACTCATTCAACAAATACTCATTAATCACTTATTGTGTGCCATTGACTGTGCTGGAGGTTGGAGGCAGAAGAGTGAATAAGGCCACATGGTCCCTGCTGTCACAAAACTTCAAATACAGCGACAGCGAAGGAGATGAAATAATCACACCTGGTAAGCAGTAACTAGGTGAAGTTCTGAGTATCCTAAGGTGCAACAGAATATCTAATGTAGCCTGGTCAGTCAGAAGAGCTGCTATGAATGGAGTAGACACAACAGACACTCTCCTTTCAGCTCCTATGTCTATTCTCTTGACCTATAGTGCAGGACCACCTTCAACTTCTACAAGTTCAGGAATAAGACTGAGCATGAAAGTGAGGAAGCCAGGGAAAAAGCCCAAATGGGACAATAATAGCTGCCACAGGATGAAGGAGCAGCTGCTGGGTTGTTACAAGGGCAGCTAAGCTGCTGCTGGCAGCCTTGGCTTGGGCCAGCCTCTGTTCAGTCAACAACATAACCTTTGGTTCATTATGGCTGCACAGATCTGGCTTAACTCATGTAAACTCCACCAAAACCAAAATGCATCTCCCAGCAAAGCAACGCACCTTATCATTTCCGTGAGAGAAGGAAGCAGGCTGTTCTGCCGGTATAATGAATAACCTACTGCCAAGACATTACCTACAGTAAAGGATGCGCCTCACTCCTACGGTCAGCTTTTCCCATTCTAGGCTCTAAGCACTCTTTAATCTGCTACTTAGGAGCTGAAAACTCAGGTTTCCAAGTCAACTGACTTTCCGAAAACACTATTAGAAGAAATCAAATCATAAATGCAATTAGAACAGTGAGACTGGTTTAGATCCAGTTTCAATGCGGCTTTTGGCCAGAGATTAGTTGGTAAACTGAGTTAGGGGACCTTCATTATGCCGAATCTGTAATACTGTCAGGTTTGACTTGCACAGCGCACGAGGAAAGGATGAATTAGTTCACAGCAAAACTCAAACTCGAGTTTCCCTCCCACATCTAACCCAACTGTCTCGTGTAAATGGTCAGAATACAAATATAGAGGGAAGAACATTTACAGTTATTCTATAGAGACTGTGATTTATCAGAGATAAAAAACACAAAATAACAGGCAACTAGCCTCAAGTCACTCTGATACTACTTTCTAAATAGTTTAATAAGGGAGGTCATGGATGTGGTGCAGAAATATATGGCTAGTGTGGAAACATGCTCAATATACTGCTAAACAGAGAAAAAAAAAAACACATGTCCATATGTTTCTGTGTTTGTAACAAAACACATGCACGTTACATGTGCATCATACACAGAAAAAACTGGGTAAATTTATATGTTAAAATATTAAAATTTTATAAAAATATAAAATGTAAATTAAGAATGGTATTCCTTTTATTGCACAGCTTTCTTTTTTCCAGAATAAACAAGTATTACTTACATTAAAAAGTAAATAATATTTTCTTAAATCATGGTACGAGACAATACCTAAGTAAGAAAGATGAGGTAAAAACTTAATGTCACAAATTTCATCCCAGTGCCTGTTAAAGACAATAGTTAACTCTGGGAAACTATTCAAACAATTCTCGTGAGATGTGCTGCATTTTCCTTCAGATGTGCTCAGAGGCCAAGCCCTAACCACCTGACTAGCTTGAAAGTGAACACCAGCAGTAAACACTGCAAGCCAGTCCATTGCCCCTGTGCCATGGTCTGGGAATTAAGCACCTGGCCACCTCCTCAATGTGCCTGTTCTGGGATCACCAAATGAATGGTAGTGGCTTGAATGTCCACCATTGGTCACCATTTGTTCCACTGGAGAGCTGGCCAGCATGTTTCCCAAAGCAGCCCACTTCCAGCCTAACTAATTCCCATCTCTTCCTGAAGCCGAGTCTCTGGGACCTCCAGGGGATACTCATGTGCCACACAATGGTCCAGGAACCATTATCCCTGGATATCTAATCTATTAAATTGTCTGAATTCTC